AGAGAGTTGGAGAAGTTTTAAAAGTCATCTGATCCCTCAACACTTTTCCTCAGAGAGACTCATACACACGCACGCACGCACGCACGCACACATGCACGCACGCACACACACACACACACACACACACACGACTCACTGATTTCCCAAGGCTATTATATATAGCAGAATAGATTGCTCTAACAATTGGGGGGGGGGGGGGGGGCAGGGGGGCAGGGAAGGGACACCCAGTGATGAGGGACATTGGAGACAGGACAAAGAGGAAATTATAGTGATTACTTTTTTTCCCCTACTGTTTATCAGAGCTTGTGATGGGATCGAATGTGAGGCTGTTGTTAACAAGGTTAGAAACAAACTTTGTAGATCAAGGAAACATGGACGAGATGTTGTTAAAGTGCGGCATACATATAAATTAAATAACAACTCAAATGTTGTGTTGATGAAGATCATGCAATATGATTTAAAGATCGAGAAAAGTTACAACAAGGACAAGGGGCTCTATAATGCCCTCACACACACACAGGAAAGGGACAACCCCAAAAAGCATAATAAGGCCTCTTCAATGAGTCTTCAAATTAGTTTAAGGCTGATTTTAACTATCAGAAAGCCTTGAGAAGAAAACAAATTATATATAAATAAACTTATAGTATATATATAATTGAATTGAAGAGCTGCAGGGGAATGCTAGTGGACGTTCTACACTATTTCCAATGAGATTAAACTTGTTTCAGACTCAATATTTTGCTTCATTAATCTCCGTTTCCTGTCTGATTCACAGTGTTGGTTACATCATCCAAAAATCGGAATGAATATGTATATCCTTATACATCTCTGTATGCAAGCAGTGTTTTATCTCCTGTTTAATGCTAATAGCCATTCATTTCCAGATGTGTGAATAATTAATTCCATATCATTGTCTATTCGGCTGATAAAGATGAATATGAAAAGTGCTGCGATCCCCTCTAGAGATTATAGAAGTATTTGATGCAAATCACTTCTCGCTTTGAGCGTCAACAGACAGTTTCAGAAAGTCTGTAGATGCTTCTTGGACCTTTGCAGAGACCAAAAAAGTCATGAAATGTAATAACAGCTAATAACTTTCTGTGTGGACAAATTAACAGGACCATAAAAAGAAATCCAATAAAACCAGAGAAATCCCGCCTCAGAAATGATCATAACCAGAGATGGGGTCGTTACTAAAAAAAAGTAATATATTACATATTACTTTAAAAAAAAGTAATATATTACACTACTTCGTTACTCTCTACATAAAGTAACTCGTTACTTTACTCGTTACTTTACTCGCAGGGCCGGCCAGCCCCTCCCTACAGGCAGATCACGCAGACTGCTAAAGTTTCAAATGTTCTCTTTAGTTCAGTTTCCATTGTCGCATAAGACTGATCCAGATAGCTCTGACTATGGCTGTCCTCTGTCTCCTGCTATCTGTATTTTGCGCAGTATATCTCTGAACGATGCGATGGTGATTCCACTGTGCAAATGGGCAACATTACCTCTACTATGAAGGATGCTACAAGCCTGTCCATCTCTGCTTTGGTTACCGGTCCTCCAAATTCTTGCGGCGGCGCACTCACAACATCCTCACTCTGGGTTCGGGGGTCCTTAGCTATTAGCTTCACCTTAGCATGTGTTCTTTGCAGGTGTTTGTTGAGGTTTGACGTGGTGTTTGCAGCAGTGGATAACAGCTTCTGGCCTGGACACAGTTTGCACCTCACCGTCACATTCCTGACTATTCTTCGGACGAACTCAAAATAATGGGCATACCTCCACCCCTCGAAAGTTATCGCTGACTCTGCCATGTTTATGCAGCACTGCACGTGGATATGTGGACGTGCAAGTCGCGCAGATTACGTACATATAAACCTGCGGCGGAAACCCCTCTTGTCTGTCAGTGTGATTATGACTGATTTTATAAAAGTAACAAAGTAACGCGTGTCGGGGCAATGTTAGTAACTTTAGTGTGATTACTGAATTATAAAAGTAACGCGTTACACTACTCCGTTACCGACAAAAGTAATATTATTACAGTAACGCGTTACACCCAACTCTGATCATAACCCTGAATCACCAACTCCCTAACACAGATTGGATTTGAACCACATCTTGTCGGGGAGTTGTAAAAGGAGTTTCCCCAAAAATAGTAAAAGGACATTTCACCCAAATCCACCTTTTGAGCCTCCACAGTGTTCACATTGACTACAAATCAATAGTTTGTCTCTTTTAATTAGTTGAGCTCAGCTTTATTCTTTTTTTAGGGCAAAACAGGTCATGAAAATCCCCAGATATCAATCGGCTTCTTCCTCTTGAAAGCCTTCATGCAAATCCAGCCATTATGGATTAAGTGTGAACTACTTAGGTATGCTTGTGACTGCTGTAGACTCTTTTAAATGTCATCTAAAGACGTTTCTGTTTCGGCAGGCGTTTGGGTAACTTGTGTGCTTTTATTCTATTTTATTCTATGTTTATATTGTGTATTGTGACTATGTCTGGGAGAAGTGCTTTAGAAATAAATTGTACTTACTTACTTACCTACTTACTTACTTACCTACTTACTTACCTACTTAATTACTTACTTACATACCTACTACTTACCTACTACTTACCTACTTACTTACTTACTTACATACCTACTACTTACCTACTACTTACCTACTACTTACCTACTACTTACCTACTACTTACCTACTTACCTCTACTTACTACTCTTACCTACTACTTACCTACTACTTACCTACTACTTACCTACTTACTTACTTACCTACTACTTACCTACTACTTACCTACTTACTTACCTACTTACTTACTTACCTACTACTTACCTACTACTTACCTACTTACTTACTTACCTACTACTTACCTACTACTTACCTACTACTTATCTACTACTTACCTACTACTTACCTACTTACTTACTTACCTACTACTTACCTACTACTTACCTACTTACTTACCTACTTACTTACTTACCTACTACTTACCTACTACTTATCTACTACTTACCTACTTACTTACCTACTTACTTACTTACCTACTACTTACCTACTTACTTACCTACTTACTTACTTACCTACTACTTACCTACTTACTTACTTACCTACTACTTACCTACTACTTACCTACTACTTACCTACTACTTACCTACTTACTTACTTACCTACTACTTACCTACTACTTACCTACTTACTTACTTACCTACTACTTACCTACTACTTACCTACTACTTACCTACTACTTACCTACTACTTACCTACTTACTTACCTACTACTTACCTACTACTTACCTACTTATTTACTTACCTACTACTTACCTACTACTTACCTACTTACTTACTTACCTACTACTTACCTACTACTTATCTACTACTTACCTACTACTTACCTACTTACTTACTTACCTACTACTTACCTACTACTTACCTACTTACTTACCTACTTACTTACTTACCTACTACTTACCTACTACTTATCTACTACTTACCTACTACTTACCTACTTACTTACTTACCTACTACTTACCTACTACTTACCTACTTACTTACTTACCTACTACTTACCTACTACTTACCTACTACTTACCTACTACTTACCTACTTACTTACCTACTTACTTACTTACCTACTACTTACCTACTACTTATCTACTACTTACCTACTTACTTACATACCTACTTACTTACCTACTTACTTACTTACCTACTACTTACCTACTTACTTACTTACCTACTACTTACCTACTACTTACCTACTACTTACCTACTTACTTACTTACTTACTTACTTACTTACTTACTTACTTACTGACTTACTTACATGCCGGCGTAAACGTTGCTGCTTTTATTTTGTTGTTTTATTTGTTTTTGTTGTTTTGTTTCAACCATTTTACTCTGTAGCACTTGAAAGCACAATGAAAAGTGCGCTTATAAATAAAATTGATTCTTATTATTATTGATTACTAGAATTGTATATCTTAGGAATCAGAAAATGCATCTTAACCAGTTAAGCCCCATGCCCCCGGTAAGGCTCTGAATTAGCCCTGAGCGAAAGAATGCTAACGCACTTAGCACAGAACTCATGATAAAATACCCTTATTACTTATCGGATCTGCACAAACAAAATATCGATTAGCAAACTGAGATTCCACAGATTCGCGGCGAAACGACAACAAACAACAACAAAATTTACGGGACCAAATCGGAAAATAAGTCTTACCGTTGCTGTTGTTCTGATCAAAAGTTGTGTTCAATGGCATTCAAATGATAAACACGCTGCTGAAGGTTAATCCATAGGTTAATCCAATGTGTCTGTTCCCTTTAAAATGATTACTGATAATCCATCTTCATATTTATGTCAATAACGGAGATTTCATATTAGCTGCTATGATAACTTCCGGTTTTGGGCATTCAGGCTACGCATCACTCTATTCACCAATGGGTAATGTTTAGATGGATTTTAGGGACTTCCCCTCGATTCTATTGGCTCTAACGGTTAAAAAGAGGTGTCAACCATCAAAATCGACCGAGGGGGGCCAGAGATATGGAAAATCCACCCAAATGACCCCAGAAGTGGTTTCTTTGTGCTAAACCTCTCTAAAAAGGTCAAATGTCACTTTTTTTGCATCAACCTTGATACAGGGTACTTATTATATGTTATAGTTTGGATTCCTAAAGCTTTTAGTCTACTATCCCATCATTCAAGGGTGGTTTTCACTATAAGTAATGTTGTTTTTTTGGACGGACACTATAATTTACATTTTTTTACTATGTTCAATCTGAATTTACTTTAAAATAAAAAAATTCTATATTGATTCTGACTTTTCTACATCCAACTCACAGGTTTATCATTACTTTGAGAAAAAAGATTATTAATTTAACCCTTTTAGAAATTAAGATATAGTCAATTGTTCTGGGAATATCATTTTCGAGCCTGAGGCCTGAAAAACAGGCTCAGGGCTCAACTGGTTAAACTATGAAATATGATGGGTTCTGACCTATAGAGATGGTCCACACGGCGGCGATCTTCATCATGGCTTTGGTTCTGGAGTTGAAGCGGCTGTGCTCGATGGGGTTTCTGATGGCCACGTATCGGTCCAGAGAGATGGCGCACAGGTGCATGATGGAGGCGGTGGAGAACAGCACGTCCAGGTAGATCCAGATGGGACACAGGGCGCTGGGGAGGGGCCAGGCGTAGTCTGGAGACCGAGGGAAAGAAGAGGTTCAAGTTATACTGATGATGCACCACTTTTAATGATAGAGCATGAACGGCTGAACGTCATCAGCTTCAGTGGACAATAAGGGCTTAAGATGTGTGTATGAAAGACAAGGTACTAACTAATTGCTGTGTCTTTTGTGTTGTATGAAGTCACACAGCTTCTCAGTCAAATGTTTTATTACTAGCAATATGTATTATTGCATCTTACTAACTTTTTAACCAAACGGTAAAAGAAGTGGGCTCTTGAACAGAAGGTTGCTGGTTCAATCCCAGCTCTTAACACCATCTTCTAGTCAGTGTGAAATAAAGCTTAAAAAAAACTACTACGAAAACTACTAAATCTCATCATGTGTAAGTAAAATGCTGATCTTGCAGAAAACAGATAACCTCACTATGTGTAAAGCTAACAACGATGAGACATGTTTTCGGTGATGCTCTCTTTGTTGAAACCCTTCTTCTGTTTCTCTCCCTCCACAGAGAGGTCAAAGGTCACAGTCAGTCTCAGTGTGACACAGTGTGAAGCTGCTGTTGAGTGTTTTTGGCTCACTGCTTGGAACAGTTTGGGTCACGGGGAATAAAATCCTCCTGACTTATCTCTTAACTTAAAGTGGACCTATCATGCTATATTTGAATAATATAGTGTAGGACCATACCTATATAAGGCATATTTATACTTTTTTTTTTTCAAAATACCAAACAGATCATGCATTTTAGCCATGCCTCATTTCGCTCAAATTGCACTTTTTTACCCCTGTTTTTGCAAGGGCAGATTCTGTGAGAACAGCACCACCTACAGGCCTGGCATATGTACTACAGCATCTCCAGCGCTTTCGAACAGCAATGGCCGTGGCTCTCTCCTCCTGATTGGTGGAGTTGGCCCAATAGCCGTAGCGCCACCGTCCTGACGTCAGGACAGTGTTCAAATCTGGATCAGTTTTTATCAGATCCGTTGCAGCCCCTTTTTTAGAGATTTGGGTATGGAGGAAAATAGAGAGGGTTGTGTTTTCTGACACTTGGTGAGTTCCCTGGAACACCGGGGACACATATTCATGTATACAAGACGTACAAAAGTGCATTTTGCATGATAGGTCCCCTTTAACTGTCCGGCGTGCTGATGTAACTTACAGAAATACCGCAGGGAGCAATTTGCCAGAGAATTAAATGAGTGGCTTAACCTTTGCTTAATCTGGTGTGAATGAATACGCCTAATTAGCAGATTTTTGGACTATAATCTTGTCTTGGCAACATTTTACACACCAGCAGGAAATGTACACTTGGGAAAAGAAGATATTTAATCATGCGTAAAAAAAAAAAAGGCCAACATGTCAAATAAAATCACCCACCATCTGTATTCATAGTTGCAGATGGAATTAAGTTCATAAACCTTTTGTTAATAATCAATATTGTTCATAAAGTTTCCTCTCAATATTACAATTGCATGTCTCCAAATGAAAAAGGGGCTTTAGTGTCAGAAAACAAGTTTAAAAAGTCTTCTGCAGCAGCTCTTTTCTCCTGTTTCTAGGAGATGCATCCTCCCTAAAGGTTAGTCTGTCCAGATGAATAGCAAATTGAAATGCAATATGCAACAGAGGAACATCGGTGTGGTTTCATTTCCAGCTGTGTCAGCTTTCTTAAGATACTGCAAAGTCCGTCTCTCTGTGTCTTACTACGTCTGTGGCTATTTATAAGAACAGTCCTTTCTTCACAGAGGACAAACCCTGCAGCCACACACACACACACACACACACACACACACACACACACACACACACACACACACACACACACACACACACACACACACACACACACACACACACACACACACACACACACACACACACACACACAGACACAGACACACACCTTAATTTCATGTCTAATTCGCAGGATGAGCTGCACGTATGTGATGCATGTGGACTCGTGAATCACTCGCTGGTTGGTGTGTGTGTTGAGTGGGAGGTAGCTTGCATAACTTTTCAGAGGTCAAACACTTATTGCATGACACACACACCCACACCCACACACACACACCACACACACCCCCACCCACCCACCCACCCACCCACACACACACACACACACACACACACACACACACACACACACACACACACACACACACACACACACACACACACACACACACACACACACACACACACACACACACACACACACACACACACACACACACACACACAGGTGGTGTTACTCAGCTGGCTCGCGGCTGTGTTGGATTCTCTGGTATATACGCTGAGAGACTCGAGTCCACAGCTAACACTGTTTATGAAAGCATGGTGAGGTCATGTTGTTCTTTTAATAACATGTATTTTCACTTAATCCAGTTTGATGTGGTGCATACAAACAGCTGATACACTCATTTTCATAATGCAAACTAGACAGAAAGTGAGCTTTTCATGGATTACTGAGGATTATTATTACTTCTAGTGCAGCCTGTTGCAGTTGCTCCTGCTAGATTTGTACTATTTTAAAATATTAGCTTTCCTATTTGACCTTACTTGTTACTTTTCTGTTAATAACTTATATTAGTAACTTATTACTGGCTGTGCCTTCTCTTAACCTTCCTTCTAGAGAGAGATATCTTTCATTTTTTTCGCGTTGAGTTGCAGCTCTTGCATTCACACCAAAGCTACGTTTACACCAGAGAGAAGCTAATCTCGCTAAAGCCGGCTAGCTAGCATAGTGAACTGCTATCCTCACATAAATCTGTAGAAGGACACAGAGGATGCAGTGTAAACCAAAAGAGGCACAAGTGGAGAGCTGGGTTCAGGTTTATGGAGAAAAAGCAGATATGAGATGTGTCTCCCCCCCCCTAATCACGGGCAACATGCTAACTTGCTAATAAATGACAAGCTAATGGTGTTGTCGGCTGCACCAAGAAACCAAAATTGCCCCTGGGATTGATTAAGTATTTTTGAGCTTTACAATGAATGCATATCGCATCAGTAGAAGCTGATACATGTTTTGAAATAGAAGGTTTTACGATTCAAAAGGTGTCTTCAGCTAAATGAGTCCATGCTGGTCTCATATATCTGAGGGCAGAGCAGATCGACCTAAGAAATGTTCAATTTACTTCTCTTATTTATTCCAACTAAATGATCACCGTCAATCCCTTTTTCCAATTCATGAAGGCCGAGATGACACAGCTCATATTAAACTGTCTGTGGGAAGATGTCTGGCATCAATGTGTGTGTATGTTACCGTACATGTGTGCTTTTATCAGCGAGTGTGTGTGTTTCCAATTTTGCAAAGAGATAGCCTCAGGCGGTAACTTTGATTGAGTTGGCCTTGAATGTCATATTCTCTCGACAGTGTGTGTGAGTGTGTGTGTGTGTGTTTGTGTGTCCTGATTGAGTCCGTATTATCTCATCTTCCATGTCATTTTCTTACTTATCGTTCCATTTTATCCATGGATATTAAACCATTCTTATACATTTGTTTGTTATACGTTTGGTTGCCTGATATATTGTGCTGTGCCATTTTTGTTTATGTCACACACCTGCAAATATGACATTCTCTCGCTTCATATATTATCAGTGTTTAATTACCACTTGTTTTAATCACCAATGCAGACAAAGAGCCAAGACACAATACAAGCCAAATTAATCTAAATTACAAAAATGTGACTTGTTACCTCATCCATCCCCACATTTTAGATAAATACAAGACGTCAGATTAGTGTTGAATAATTGGATCGGATATGGAAAGTCATGGAAACTTTGTGATTAAAGACAGAACTAACAGGATATCAAATTGCAAGCTCCACTAAGGGAGGAGGTTGCAGGCATGTTTGTCTTCTACAGGTCTTCCTCCATCTCTTGCAGACGTTTTCCACCACGAACATGCTTAACAAGACATAATCAGGCCATGTGAATGAGGTCGTGTGTGTGTATAATGGCGTACAGCACAGTAATGGTGTGTGAACCAGGGTGATGTCGACAAGAATTGTAACAATTGCTGAGATTTATTGGACAACGTGATTTTATTAGAGTGATAACAATCATTGTTCACGTCCAAAGAACATTTACCTCATCGCTGTCTTATTGTGGGCCTGAAAAGTCAGACTGTGTGTGTGTGTGTGTGTGTGTGTGTGTGTGTGTGTGTGTGTGTGTGTGTGTGTGTGTGTGTGTGTGTGTGTGTGTGTGTGTGTGTGTGTGCAAGTATCCACAGAGATAAAAAGTTGCTAAATTACCATCCACATCATCTTTTATCATGATTGTTATCATTATTATAATCATTGTCAAGTTAAATGGTGTGAGAACATTGTGCTTGTTCTCGAGCGTAGGTGTGTGTGTGTGTGTGTGTGTGTGTGTGTGTGTGTGTGTGTGTGTGTCAGCCAGCCGTGGAGATCAATGCAGTCAAGTACCAGTCTGATGGATAACACTGCAGCTATAGATCCATGCTCTGCGTGTGTTGGTGTGTGTGTGTGTGTGTGTGCTTTTGCAAGTGTGTATATAAATGACACACTGTCTATTTGCTTTGGTGTGTATGTGTTTGTGAACAATACGGACTTGTTTGTTTGTTTGAGACATTGATTACCACACTGAGCAATCAGCTGCAGCCGCTTCAACTCACACACACAGACAGACAGTGTGAGTGTGTGTGTGTGTGTGTGTCCATCGACCATGCAAGGCCCATTTAGCACCAATCAAGCGTCACTGTCCTGTTTAGTATTCCTGAAGGATTCCAGCTGCAAAGCCAGACATGACGGAAGTTCGTTTGGCCAAGTTGTGCAGAGCATACAAAAGGGGAAAGGGAAGAAGACATACGGACACATGAAGGTGTTTTATGTTATTATATTAAGTACTTTTTCTATATATCCTTGCGTTTATGTATAGATGAATTTGTCCGTTTATAATATTTTTAATTTAAAGTGGTTCGACACTTAGATACATTTTGGGGGTCCAGCTCCCAAACTCGTAAGGACTCAATTTCCCATGATGCAACACAATACAGTCTTTCCATAATTTCTTCATATTCTAATCTTTAAATCCTGTTTTATAATTCCATTCTTTGCATATAGTCAATGCATGTTAGTGAAAAAGCAGCCGCAAGATAAAATATGTGTTTATAAAAATGTTTAAATTCTGTTAAAGGTGGGGTAGGTAAGTTTGAGAAACCGGCTCGAGATACACTTTTTGTTATATTCCATGGAATGCTCTTAACATCCTGATAGCAATGAATATCTGAAGTGCTTTGACAAAACATCCATAAATAAATGTCATCTGTGGAAGCCGTAGTACTGTAAAAAGCACGACCAATCATCTGAGCCGGCCCGGCTAAAATAACTGGATGGCCTACCTGCCTGTCAGCCTTCCATCTGTGCACAAACTTATCTCGTGCCCTCATTGGTCATGTGCGCGTTCGTGTGTGTTGGAGGAGGGGCTCTGTAAGGAAGTGGCAGATTTTCTCCGGTTGTGTATTTTCAAATTCTAGCGATCTCGAGCCGGTTTCTCAAACTTACCTACCCTACCTTTAATGGATGAAGTAATCGTATATTATGCCCCTTAGCAAATGTAAAATACATCAGTGTTGAAAAACTTTTAAAAAGTCCAAAATCTAAAAATCCTGACTGGTGTGAATTTAATTTGAAGTGCAAACAACTTACAAAATGGAAAACATTTCTGTGCCGTCAAGATAATATTTATGTAGATTTGTCAATATGTGTCTTTCCCTGCTGTCTCATTTGTAAAATGGCTGATCATTTTTGCCCCAGGGTAATTCTGTTTGGCTTTAATGCCATCAGTGTTTGCACACAAACTCAGTCAATTAAACCGAGTGTTCTCAGACAAACACAAAATGACACATGACATTGGCCGAGATCCGAGGAGCCTTCTCACATCAACGTCACTGTCAGGAAGTTTAGCCCCAAAACATTTAGCTGAACCATCTACTTTCCAAAAGTCTTGGGCTGTCGTGATAATAGCTACGTCAACATATTCAGATTTGTCCGTCTCTGCTGTCATGTGACCAGAATATGATATGCTCTGTCATCATCTGTGCAGAGAATTTCGCCCACAAATGAATCCAATCACATAATAAATGATATTTGTCACAACATTGACATGGACTGTAAGCATTTGACCCGGTTTCCAATGGATGTGGATATTTTGAAGTGAGTTAAAATGCCTATAATCAATATTTCTTATAATAACAGTGAATCAAATTACTGCAGTATGTGTAATGTAAAAGACTGGATACATCTTTGTTGGTAAAATATTGTTATCCAAAACAATAAGGGTGCAACATGAGAATTAAATCACTTTCAGTATGTAAACATTAATGATAAAAGCAATGTGAGAGCTGTGAAGAACCCATGAAGGAATATCCCCTGACACTACAGTTTCGATAAATAAAATGTGGTTTTCTGGCTTGCAAAATGTCCGTGTTGAATCACTCTCATGGCTCTGATCAATGTTACTTTCAGCTCCTGCATGAAGCTAAAAAAAAAACAGTATTTATTGATGCCGAGAACTGATTGGCCGAGAGACAAAGTTAACAAGCAGCTAATGAACACAGCAGAGTCGCAGATGCAGCTAAAGATATTTCCTTTCGGAGCTGGTGGGGACCAAACTGGAGCATGAAATAATAACAACAGCATGTAAGCAAAGGTCTGTTTGGTTAAAGTGGACCTATCATGCTATATTATAATAATATAGTGTAGGACCATACCTATATAAGGCATATTTATACTTTTTTTTTTTCAAAATACCAAACAGATCATGCATTTTAGCCATGCCTCATTTCGCTCAAATTCCACTTTTTTACCCCTGGGAATCAGCAAGGGCAGATTCTGTGAGAACAGCACCATCTACAGGCCTGGCATATGTACTACAGCGTCTCCAGCGCTTTCGAACGGCAATGGCCGTGGCTGTCTCCTCCTGATTGGTGGAGTTGGCCCAATAGCCGTAGCGCCACCGTCCTGACGTCAGGACAGTGTTCAAATCTGGATCAGTTTTTATCAGATCCGTTGCAGCCCCTTTTTTAGAGATTTGGGTATGGAGGAAAATAGAGAGGGTTGTGTTTTCTGACACTTGGTGAGTTCCCTGGAACACCGGGGACACATATTCATGTAGAAAAGACGTACAAAAGTGCATTTTGCATGATAGGTCCCCTTTAAGATATTTCCTTTAGGAGCTGGTGGGGACCAAACTGGAGCATGAAATAATAACAACAGCATGTAAGCAAAGGTCTGTTTGTTTAAGGGATTACAATACAGCTAAGTGACACAAATAAACTGTTGATTGCTGTGATATTTGACGTATTTGAGACTAGACTAAACTAGAAATTGGAAAGCAAAACAGTAAATGTAGTTTTGACCTGCTGAAATGTGGGCATTGACAGGGATTGCTGTCACAGAAAACTGCAAAGGTCATTTTGTGATGATACTCAGCTCTGGGAAAGATTTCCTCGCCTACCATCAGCTCCTCTGTGATGGTGACATTTACAGGTACACGGTAAAAAAACATGCCTCTATTTCGTGGTGTTCCTGCAAAGAACTGGCTGAGATTCTCGAGCCTTTTTTTTTTACGTTATGTTTTCACTCATCATTGGCAATGAGATGCAAAAGGCAGCCTTGCACATAACAACCCGACATCCTATTTAGCTAATGTGGGCGTTCATGCTGAATCCTGGCAGGAATATTGTAAGCAAGCACAGCAGTTGATAGCGGGTATGATATTGCAATTATCAGGCTGGCTCTTGAATCACTTGCTACATAACAGTGAGCAATGTCTCAGAGAAGTAATCATAATTTCAACATTTGCATTGAAAGAGGGTTTTGAAATAATGACAGGACGCATTTCACAGTGTGCCTTCAGCAGCTGTTGAGTGGGAAGGTTTCTGAGATTAGGAATCTGCAGCGAGGATTGTTTAAATATTGGGTGGGATGTATCCGTCAAGATGAAAGAACTATAACTTACTTAGTGCAAGTTGGAACATCTGGAGGTGACCCTGTACTGTAAGTAAGTGTGTTCCTGAATGCAGCTATTTATGTACGGCTTGTTTTCACAGTGAAATCTGAAGGACAGAACGCAAATTGTTCTAATGTTTGACATCGAATGTAGTTCTTTTGCAACCTTTGTTTGACTTTCCAGCAACCCAGCAATGTATGTGCATTATCAAAAGATATGTACGTGTGATTGTGAGCAATATACATCAAGTTAAAGGTTACAATGTTATCTGTAATAAAGCTTTCAATGTGTGTTGCTTTCTGCAAGTTAATAAAGCCTAACAAATACTCCCAAATGGAGGAGAACATGGAAAACTATAGAAACAAGGGACGTGTAGTAGGAGTGTTTGTGGTACTTTCTTCGTTCTATCTGTGTCACTATAAAACCACCTATAGCGTTGTGCGCAGAAGTTTAGACAAGTCTCTGCGGTCACAACAAATTGTACATGAAAGTCAACAAAGTGCCAAAGCATACACCCTTCAATGACGATATCTACATCACATGAACCCTTGCGTACTTGCAAGGACGGAAAATATAGTTTTGACTCAAGTATTCCACTTTACATGTCTACATAAGCCTAAAAAATACTCCCAAACAGACGAGAACATGGACAGCTCTAGAAACAAGGGACGCGTAGTAGTTCCATCTGAGTAATAAACAATACAAAATGACAATATGTACATTACCTGGACCTTTGCGTACTTGCAGGTTTCGAAACATATAGTTTTGACTCAAGTATTTCATTCTACATGTCTATATAAGCAGATTTTAGGAAGTGAGCACTCACCATAGAGGATGTTGATGAGGGAGACCGGCATGACCAGGATGCCGACGAGCATGTCCGCCACGGCCAGAGACCTCAGGAAGAAGTTGGTTGCGTTTTGGAGCTTCTTCTCCAGCGACACCGCCAGGATCACCAGGATGTTGCCTCCGATCGTCAGCGCGATGATGACGAGGATGAGCAGCGCCGGCCAGTTCTTGTCTTTGATCGCCGACCTGGTCACAGACTCCTGGGTGAAATTGTCCAGACCTGCACTCATGGCAGCCGCACCTCCACCTAAACCCAACGACAGGGTTTGGTTGAGGTCCAGGGGCTTGTTGCTGGGCCAAGCCATACGAGCGCCAACCGCCAGGGAAGAAGTTGTAGTGCTGAACCCGCCGAGAAGAGCCCTCGCTGGGCCGCCCATCCCAACGACGGACCCTTACTCTATTGGAGGTTTGAGGTTTAACTCACCTTCTTCACCAGCAGAGGGAAGAACAAGGTGGACATTTGGATTTGTTCACCATTGATGAAGACGTTCTTAAAGAGTTTTGAAGTGTGTCTACCTGAATGGATTCCTAAAACCACCTTTCATAAGGTTCTTGGGGAAGGGACAGAAACGGGAAGAAGAGGTTTTAACGATGGGAAATGACAGGAAAGAGGGGATTTTGAGGATCTAGCAACAAGTGATTATAGGTATTGCCAGCTGAAAACAACTTCAAACTGTTCCTGGAGATCTGAATCTCCCAGTTCTGGCCAACAAGTCATTGGCGATGAGTTCTCAAAGTGTACGCTGGGCCAAAATGTCCCGTGTTTTCTTGGTGGTGGTTCAGTCACATCCACCTCTTGATGGAACTAAGAGTCTAAGAGTTTCTAATTGAGATCTGAAAGTCGGTTTACTCACATCCATGGCCGTTGGAGATCCGTTCAAGATCTTAACCAGAAATTCAGAGATGAGTATTAATCAGTTCTAGCATCTGCATTCAGCTTTGAGCTTTGCTGCCAGGGTTGGTTGTATCCAATGTTCTTCCTTCAGGTCCGACTTGATGATGAGGTTGATCTGTGGAAGGAACCAACAAAGAAAAGTCAGATCATTTCTTCCCAACTTCCTGTTTGCAAAATGTGTATTCCACTAGTCATTTTTTTCTTTGTACATGTGATGTTTCGGTGTTGTTGTTTTTTGCTTAGTTTCTTTCCGTTAACTGTCAAGTGGGAACTACGTTTTTTTTTTTAGAAAGGGGCAGGTCATATAAGATTATTTTCTTCGCCCTGCTCCTTTTCGGTCAATGGTGTGTTTATAGAGACATATTTTTTAAACAATTATTATACATTAAAGGGGACCTATCATGCAAAATGCACTTGTGTACGTCTTTTATACATGAACATGTGTCCCCGGTGTTCCAGGGAACTCACCAAGTGTCAGAAAACACAACCCTCTCTATTTTCCTCCATACCCAAATCTCTAAAAAAGGGGCTGCAACGGATCTGATAAAAACTGATCCAGATTTGAACACTGTCCTGACGTCAGGACGGTGGCGCTACGGCTATTGGGCCAACTCCACCAATCAGGAGGAGACAGCCACGGCCATTGCCGTTGGAAAGCGCTGGAGACGCTGTAGTACATATGCCAGGCCTGTAGGTGGTGCTGTAGTCTGCCACAAAAGCAGTGAAGAAGACTTGGTTACCATGGTTACCCTTCTGTTTATTCTCCGCTGTGGCTTATTTTCTCCCTCCCCGAGGCAAGCGTTTGCTCCCGCTGCTTTAATTCAATGCAATCCCTCCCCGTCGAGACAAGCACTGTAATTCTCTCCGGTTAGTCCACCAGCAGATGACAAACACCCACCTCTCCGCCTCTTCCAAGGAACGAGGGGACCGTGCGGCAGAGTTTCAGTTTCAGTTTGTTTCGCCCGTCAAGATGTCCGTTAAAGTTTAAATCTTCCGGACAAAATTAGAAAAGTGCCGGTCAAAGGTCTTCTTTGTTATTTATTGAGCTTTAAAACAAATGAATAACGACTCTATATAATAAAACACGGAGGACGGAGATCTCTTTTTCTCCCCCTCTTCTGACAGCCCAGCAGCTGATCAGAGCACGTCTCCCCTCTCCTGCAGGGGGGCGTGGTCAGCAGAATCAGACCCGTAGACAGCAAACAGCACATGGAGAGAAATGAGGCATGGCTAAAATGCATGATCTGTTTGGTATTTTGGAAACAGAAACGTATAAATATACCTTATATAGGTATGGTCCTACAATATATCATTTAAATATAGCATGATAGGTTTCCTTTAAGTTATGAATACCATGAACGGAACAAATACAAATGAAATCATTGATTGATCCTCTCTTGCATCTTCTTGAGCATTCTCCATTGCTTGAGCACACACCTACTCCCTCACGTTTCTTCTTGCCTTCACATCTCTTGCAGTTCTTCTCCCCCGTTTGGCCAGCCATTAAAGCAGACACTTCCTTTGTCTCATTTGTTTCTGACATCGATCCCTCTTTTACCATTTAAAGATATTATCTGCACTTCTAATAAAAGTCTGGGAGGGAGAATGAGTGCTACTGTCAAACACTACAGTTATTTAAAACAAACTGGAGAGGAAGGAGGCTTTGATGCTATCACCCTCACATAGCAACATTTCAGTGTGTGCAGAAATACTGTCCTTCTCTGTTTACCCTTACCTCTCAGACTGCTTCGTGATTTAGCACCTCGTAAATGTCTTCAAGGATATGTGGAGGAATCAGAGTGTACTGCAAGTGTGTGTGGGAGAGGAAAAGTGTGTGTGTGTATGCTCGTAACAGAAGAAGAGAGTGCTTGAAAAGAGAATGTGTGGTACGTTTAAGAATGGAAGATGAATGCGCTTCCTTGTTGTGTCCATATGTTTGAGTGTTTGAGAGTGTGTGTGTGTGTGTGTGTGTGTGTGTGTGTGTGTGTGTGTGTGTGTGTGTTTGAGATAACAAGGCAGCACATCTCCAGACGGACCCGGGCTTTCCAGCTGAGATAGTTAAGTGGGCGGTGAGTCTATGATAGTAGCTAGCAGAGCACAGTAGGAGTGTGTGTACATATTTCACTAATCGCCATAAGCACGATAACAAAAAACCCTGATTTGCATATTTTCCTTTAACCTTAATATATGAGTGTAAGTCTGTTGTTTTTAATCGTCTCCTTGACTGTATTATTTTCTCTCTGTCTCGTTTGTTTGAGTAGATAACTGAATACATGTATTGTCTGATACACACACATTTAAATATTCATGTGTGTGTAGGCAGATACGTTGTCAGTGCTCATACATAAACAACCTTGTTTTGCAACCTTTTCGAAAAAACGACCAATATGACCTTTGCAAGAATGATTCGTATGACTGTTTTCGGATCTGAAAAAAACAAACAATGACCTTTAAGGAACTATTTACAACCCGACAGCGACGACAGGCTTTGGGATGTCAGTGTGCACAGCTGTTGTTTGTCAAAAAGTAGTAACCGAATATACCGGCCATCTGCAGGTCATCTTTTTCATGCTATTCCCTTATTAATATTAATAACCAGTATGAAGAATGGAATTGAAGGGCATACACTTTTCCACAGCTTCTCACTAGGGTCAGGATAAAGGTTCTTGTGAAAAAAGGGAAGCCCCAGACTAATCTTTAGCCAATTAAAAGGCTGCTCCACACTTTATGTTATTATTTGTCTTGGCTTTGTCTATAAGCTGGGAAGAAAACAAGACTTTGTGCAATGTAAAGTCAATAACACAGTGGCGTTCAGTGGTTGTTCTAAAAGGAAAAGCCAATAAGGGGTTGTTGTACTCTTGATTCTGAATAATGGTCAACAACACTTGAATTAGGTCTGTGTTAACACATAAGAAAGCTGTGTAAACAGTTTCCACTAAGAAGAGATATGAGGATGTATGTGTGTGTGTGTGTGTGTGTGTGTGTGTGTGTGTGTGTGTGTGTGTGTGTGTGTGTGTGTGTGTGTGTGTGTCAGGCTGCTTCCTTTCAGAGAGACTATCAGCATAGTTCATCGGAAACTAAACAACACTGCAGGCGAGTCGTTTAACTCTGAAACACAGCTTTACCTCAGACAGAGAGAAGAGACAGAAGATGTGATCGAGGAGAAAGACAAATGAATGGATGAAGAAATATAACCCATCAATAACACATCTTTTTAGATTAGCTTTTTATTAGCAACCCCCCACTTTAAATGTGCTTTTAGTCTTTATTAATGACTGATTTATTTATTGTATAGGTCTTAAAGGATTGTATCTTATTTTAATAATCTAAAAAATGTCTTAATCGTTAAACGTTTATTAGAATTATGGCATTTTTATGACTATTATCTTTTTATTTGTATTTCTGTTGTACCGATATGTTCACTTTGTTTCATGGGGTTTTATATTGTTGCATCGACTCAGTTGTCTTGTTATCTGTCGGAGAGATATTATTATTTCATTGTATTTGTATTATCATACCTTTCACCTCCTTGTGTCTCTTAACCTGATACAATGTTATATTTTGCTGCATGTACCTTTTTAAAAGTTCTTAACAAATAATCTGAGGGGAATTTCTTGTTGTTTGTGTTTAACTTGTGATGTGTCATTTTGTAAAGCACTTTGAGCTGCATGACTCCAGAGGACAGTTCCTTAATTATATCGCTGTAACCCTGGCACCTCTGATTCAGACAAGTGAATGTTTCTCAAATAAACATCTCATCAATACTTTACCTGCTACTATTAGGTCTCTTGCATCATTGGGTATGTTTAAGCATTATCATCTCTTGTTATTGATGAAACTGATCTATTAGACACCACTGTCAATCAAATTGTAATGATTGTATGCATTACTTCATGACTGTACGTGGTTTGTCCTGGTTTGCTTTGCTTTCTGTTATTTTGTTCATGTAAGACGTTGCTTTTGTCGGGACCCCCTTGAAAACGAGATGGTGTACCTCAAGGGGTTTATCCTAATAAATACATTTCTATATAAATCGTCAGAATTTTGAGATTTTGAAAAAAAGTCAGATTTTTTAGATTTTGACAAAAAGTCAGAATTTTGAGAAAAAGTCAGAATTGGAAGTTGCTCTTGTTATTGATGAAACTGATCTATTAGACACTACTGTCTATCAAATTGTAATGATTGTATGTATTATTTCATGCATTTTACTTAAAGTGAACCTATCATGCTATATTTGAATAATTTTGCTCAATTTGACAATTTCTAGCTCTGGGCAGATTCTGTGAGAACAGCACCATCTACAGGCCTGGCATATGTACTACAGCGTCTCCAGCGCTTTCGAACGGCAATGGCCGTGGCTGTCTCCTCCTGATTGGTGGA